CCTGAAGGGTATGTGTGTTCATTCAAAGAAAGGTTTTCCTATGAATTAATTAGAAAAGAGTAAATTTTTACTGTGCACTGTGGATTTCCTATGGAAAATGTAGTGCGAGGGGAAATTCTCAACATGGCATTAGGTCGTAAATGTATCTGGTCTAGCAAAGGTCTCGTGGTTGCCATGGGGACCAGGGGGGGCCTGGTGTCGTTGCAGACATCCTGGCACCCAGTATGTTTATTGGGTGAGGGGTCTGTGAATGTTTGTTAATCTAATGAATAATTGATTTGTTAAATCAAATGAAAAATGGTGTGTCTGATTGGTCCAGACGCTACAATGGATTCTGCTGAGTGTGGTGAGTACAGTAGAGGTGGTTTCAGTAAAAAATGACACCTTTCTTTGAATTGTTGACTTTATTTACATTTGTCCATCAAGCTATTATGAACCTCCCGTCAAGTAAATTGCTCATGGGATGTTTTCCGTTACAATTCATTTTTATGTAAATTGTACAATATGTTGCCCAATATCTTACATTTTTGGGTTCCATTGCTTATCCTGAGCACAGTAGAGGTGTTTTCAGTAAAAAATGACACCTTTCTTTGAATTGTTGACTTTATTTACATATGTCCATCAAACTATTATGAACCTCCCGTCAAATAAATTGCACATGGGATGTTTCAATATTATGTACATAATATCTTTGTGGAGAGTCAGTTTTCTTATGCAAATTATACAGTTTTATGTCTTTCTGTGTTCTCCAGATCATTCAAGATGGTGAACTGCCCACTTTGCCATAGGGATTGTTCAAATATTCGCCAGCATCTAAGAATCACACACTGTGTGTTTAATCTGGAGGAACAGGCAATTTTAATCAAACTGGCCCGTTCCAGAGTGCTTCTACGCAATGAAGTCTGCCCAATATGTGGCAATACATTCAAGTTCAGTGACCGGCTTGTGACCAATTCTCACAATGACCTCTTGGTAAGTTTTGACCAGTTATGCTTTAAATTAACAATATGTGAAATACCTTTACATGTATTCGTAATTTAAGCGTTAACAAACATTTTCTGTTTCAGAAGGCCAAACGCATGGAGGTCCTCCACACGATGAGGTGGAGGGCTTCGATGAAGCAGATCGATGCACTGCGTACCACAGACCCGAAGGTCCCGCTGGCTAGGAGCTCCGGTCAGAAGCCCCACCCGCAGAAGGCCCTCCAGTGGACCACACAAGGCCAGGGCCCCCACCAGCAGCACCGGCACCACCAGCACCACCGGAGATCCCTGTGGCTCTTCAGGTCTGCGCCCCACCCTCTCAGGTTTGGGGCCAACAGGCTATATGGATTGGGCCTTACCCACCCCAGATGGTGTAGGCCGCACCACCAGAAGTCCGGGTCCTGCCATCTGGGCTGGGGGCTGCGCCAACACAGGAGGTGGGGGATGCTCTCTCTCAGGTGGTGGAGGCCGCACTTCTTGAGGTGTTGTCCCCACCAGCTGAGGTGTCCCCACCACCTCAGGTGTCAGCCCCACCACCTGCTGCAGCCTCATCCACGGCATCATCTGCCCCACCTGTAGATGATGCAGAATTGATAGATTTCCTGAGTAAGAATCAGTTTATAATCTCATTTCTTATAATGTTGCAGTTGATGGTAGACTAACCTGATGGTCTGTTTTACAGAGGAATTTGGAGAGGGCCTAATGGATCCAGTGGAGGACTTCCCCACAATTGTTTTCACCGATTTATTTTAAAATTTTCTTTTGTTTAAAACGTTGTTCCAGTTCCAGAAAAAAAAGAAATGTTTTAATATAAAAAGTGTTTTTATAGGTGTTTTTAAATGACTGCTAATGTAAATAGTTTTTAATGTTAATGTAAAGAGTTTCTTCTTTCATTTTAAAATGTTCCGTAAGAAATGTTTTTTAAATTGTTCAATAAATGGTTAAAGTTCGGTCGAGGTGTTTCATTAATAAATGTAATATTAAGTGGTAATATATAATGTGTGAATACATGTGTCCACGGACCCCATACAGAACGCCCATTGAATAAGCTGCAACTGGGATGCTTACCTGTTTTCTCCGTGGAGACAGACTAGAAAGTGTAAAAATAGACTGGTAAGTGCACTCTAATGTATTAGACTGAAAGTGGGATCAAATAGACTGCAAATTGGATCCGGAAGGGTATGAGTGACCCCTGCACGCGCAGTGTCCCTGACTTTAGTCTTGGTCTTGGCTCTGTGCTCTTCGTGAGAAAGATACAGATAAAAAGAAAACATGCCTGTCGAGGACTGCCCTCTGTGCCTCAGAGGGTTTCATCAGCTTAGCCAGCATCTGCGTTTGATGCACAAAGTGAACAATGAGACGGAGCGAAAGCTCCTTCTCTCCATCGCATTCGGCAGGGTTAATGTAAGGAAGGGCACCTGCCCCATTGCTGGCTGCAAGAAGGAAACCACCCGCCTGGACCGCCACCTCAAAACCCACACGGAGCTCACCAAGGGGGCCCGATCTGAGGCGATTAGGGCCTGCAAGCGTAAAAAGATCTTGGGAGATCTTGCCAGCTTGAGGGCGTCAAACCCGTCCAAACCAATGGTGTCAACCCTGGACCTCGATGAGGACCAGGACGTCTTGGACGAGCCATCGCTTCCAGAGGAGGAGGAGGAGTGTTCGAACCCCAGCTGCAAAAATCGAGTTAAGCAGCTGGAGGACCACGTGTCTGATTTAAACAAGCAGGTGGACACTCTCACCACTGCCCTGCGAGACGTCGCCCGGCGGTTGCTCTCTGCCCTCAGCGGCCCTGGAGAGGGGGAGGGCGAGCCCCCTGAGTAGCCGGTCGCCGGGCCTCCGAAGAAAGACCGCGGCGAGTCCTCACGCTCCTTTCAGACGGCCTACACTTTCGCGGACCACGTGGAGGCACTAAGTAAGTATGACACTTGTCGCTTCTTACCCATACTCTGTGCCCTCGACCCGGCTCACCTGGTCCTTCTTGTGTGTTTTCTTTTCGCAGATCAGGTCATCGAGGAGTTCCGGGAGCACCACGAGGGCGCCGTACCCTCGCCCAAACGTATAAATAATGTGTCTTCGAAGGTCTTCCGGATCAAAAACTTTGTTGCCTACATGTCTGTTGGCCAGACTGAACTGGCCAGCATGACATTTTTAAACAACGCGGCAAAGATGCGGACCTGGCTATCGTTTTTAAGACTAGCCAAAATAACTGAGCCTACAATTCACCACTACCTGAAGAATGTGGCTCAGTTTTTACAGTTTGTCAATGAAACCCCGCCGCCCACATGCCGGCTCTCCTGCGTCACCTTATTTGGCCTTAGAAGGGAGATCCAGTCCATCATCCGCCCGGTAAGGCGCAGTGTGGCGGTCCACCAGGTGGCTGTGAAACAGGCCAAGGAGGGCCGCTTTATTTCCAAAGCCACGCTGCGTGCTTGCCGGGAGGCGGCCAAGAAGATGATCCCTGAGATTCTGAGTAAGTTCTCGACCTCTCTTGCCTCTCATACTTTGGCATCCCACGTGCCCCTTAACGCTTCTCTTTTTATCTGTGCAGATCGCCTCAAGACAGCAGTGGAGAAGAAAGACCAGTGGTCTTTTTATGGGCACCTCACCACGTATTGGGCCAGTATTTATGGACACCGCGGTGGGGTGTTCCAGAACCTTACCATTAAGGAGGTGGAGGACACCAGGAAGACCGTAACTGAGGACAAATTTGTCATCAACGTGAGTGGTTCTCTCTCTTACTCTCTCTCTGTCTCTCTGCATGGTTTTCTCTTAAAAAAATAAAAATAAATCGCTTCTCGCCGTTTATGCAGATATCGGCCCACAAGACCAACCAGGCCTTTGGTGCCGCCCAGCTGGCCCTTGACCAGGAAGAATATGGGTGGCTTCAGCAGTTTCTTTCACTGAGGTCCACCTTGGTGGGTTGCAAAAACGCCCACTACTTTTTTTTCACATCTAAACTCAGCTCCTGCAAGAACCTCAATCAGTATTTTCAGGAGGCTTGGAGATCGATGGGCTTGCCTGGGACGCCCACGTTCACTGATTTGAGGACCTCCATCGCCACCCACGTAAGTGTTCCTGTGCATGTTTCTGCTGTGTGAGTTTCTTACGTGTGTGTGTTTTCTTCTAACTCTTTGCCTATGCTTTCCTCTCTCCGAACAGGCGAAGAACACCCACTGCCCAGAGAACAGGCACAAAGTGGCACAGTTTATGTGCCATGACACCTCCACGGCTGACAGGTTCTACACTTTGAACCTCAATGCAAAGCAGTTTGAGGCAGCCTTGGAAGGTGAGGATGTGGCGCCAGTGCCTGGGACAACAAAGCGCCCCGCTAAACCGCGCAAGTGGCCGGCCGGCCAGTCCCCCTCCGCCAGCCTGTTGACCTCTGCCAGCCCGACGACCTCTGCCAGCCCTCCCCAGATCCCATTCAATAAATTGCAAATGGACACACATACCACTCCCCATTTATTGAATGGGATCGGTTTAATAGGTTAGTGGACAATCATCCCACTAGACTATTATAGCGATCCCATTCAATAAATTGCAAATGGACACACATCCCACTCCCCATTTATTGAATGGTATCGGTTTTAATAGGTTAGTGGACAATAAACTACTATAGCTGTCCCATTCATTAAATGCCAAATGGACACTTGTCCCATTTGCAGTTTATTAAATGGGAATGCTTTAAGTGGTTAGTGGACAATCATCCCACTAACCTGCCATAGCTATCCCATTCATTAAATGGCAAATGGACAAATAGTGGGTTCGTGGGACGTGGGGGGCGTGGACAAGGGGTCCCCGTGGGTCCGGGGTCATTCCGTCATTATAATGGCCAAATGGACAAATAGTGGGTTCGTGGGACCTGGGGGGCGTGGCCAAGGGGGTCCACAGGGGTCCGGGGTTGATCCGTCACAATAGTGGGCAAATGGACAAATAGTGGGTTCTTGGGACCTGGGGGCGTGGCCCGGGGGCGGGGCAGTGGTCAGCGGGGGTCCAGGGGTCATTCCATCAACATAGTGGGCAAATGGTAGGTTCTTGGGACCTGGGGGCGTGGCCCGGGGGCATGGAAGTGGTCAGCGGGGGTCCAGGAGTCATTCCGGTGTCCAGGAGTCATTCCGGTGCTCCAATGGGCGAATGGACAAATAGTGGGTTCGTGGGACGAAAAAGTGTCCATCCCCCATATGGGTGAAGGCCACTGTCGTAATCCTGGGGTGGGACGTCCGTGCACCACCCTGTGGGGAAAGGCTGAACTGCTTTTGGGGGATAAAAACTTCGGCGGGCTCCCGTCGGGCCCCTGGGGGGGTCAGGGACCCCGAAGTTGGCCAGGGTCGGTCGGCCGCCCGTCGAAGGTCGCCGGCGGACCACCCGCCAAAAATTTTGGGGGGGCGGCACGCAGGGTACACGAACAAACGTACGCGAGCCATCGAACGTATTACAGAGTGTACCCGGTCCAAAAGTTATGGACTACCGTGAGAAAGTAATTATTTCTCAAAATGTAGCATATATAGTTATTCCTTTAATTTGTTTTTCTCCTAGATTTTTTTTTACTGTTCATATACTGAAAGACATGGATTTTGCATGTATAATTTTTTATAGTAACATTCATTACTGATAAATCAATGTAAATGGGAGAGACGGACTCAGTAGTATAATTGCAGCAGCTGCACAATAAATTTTCATTCATGACATCACTGCTGGTGGGAGGGGCCCCATCTCGTTCTTTGCGGGGGGGCCTCTAAGATGTGCGGTACGCCACTGGTAATATTATTAGAAAATACGGGATTAGTTTCCACTGTTATGCTGATGATATTCAACTATATATCTCAACAAGACCAGATGAAACTTCTAAATTATCTAAGCTAACAGAATGTGTTAAATTTAAAAGATTGGATGACCAATAATTTTCTCTTATTAAATTCGGATAAGACAGAGATATTACTTATTGGGCCAAAAAACAGTACACAGAATCTCTTGGGTTGCAATTTGCAACTAGACGGATGTACTGTTACTTCCTCTACAGTCAAAAATCTGGGTGTTATATTAGATAGCAACTTGTCTTTTGAAAATCATATTTCCCATGTTACAAAAACAGCATTCTTTCAACTTAGAAACATTGCCAAGCTACGAAACATGTTACCTGTTTCTAAAGCAGGAAAGCTAGTTTGTGCATTCATGACCTCTAGACTCGACTATTGTAATGCACTGCTAGGTGGTTGTCCTGCATCTTCAATAAACAAGATACAGGTAGTCCAAAATGCAGCGGCTAGAGTCCTTACCAGGTCAAGAAAATATGATCATATTACCCCAATTTTACAGTCTCTGCACTGGCTACCTATTAAGTTCTGTATCAGTTACAAAATATTATTACTTACCTACAAGGCCCTTAATGGTTTAGCTCCTGCGTACCTAACTAGTCTTCTACCATGCTACAATCCATCACGCTCCCTAAGGTCGCAAAACTCTGGACTTTTGGTAGTACGAAAGTGCCTCCTGTTGAATCTACTTGCTGCATGAACTGCGACAAACTTCTACAAAGGATTGCGGTTCTTGAAACAAAGTTGGACTTCCAAAACAGGCAGCAGACCGTCATCACGGACCCCCTCAGCATACAGCTGGTGAGTCCCATGAATCTAGTCAATCTCAACAGTTTATACCAAGTGTAGAGGAACAAGCCGAAACTGATAGTCACACTAATCGATGGCACAAACAGGGAGCGAGACACAAAGACAGTAGAGACATCAGATTGTCACGAGTTTCTCGTATTGCTGCCGTAGCATCCTCTACCCCAGATACGGCTATGACAAGGCTTGTGAATACTGGTATTCTACCACCCACTATACATCTTGAGAACAGATTTGAAGCATTAATGAATGCGGGTGAGGAATCCCCAAATGTGATTAAACAAGGATCGGATCAGCCAGCAGCTAACATCACGCTCCCTAAGGTTGCAAAACTCTGGGCTTTTGGTAGTACGAAAGTGCCTCCTGTTGAATCTACTTGCTGCATGAACTGCCACAAACTTCTACAAAGGATTGCGGTTCTTGAAACAAAGTTGGACTTCCAAAACAGGCAGCAGACCGTCATCACGGACCCCCTCAGCATACAGCCGTACATTTCTGCCATATGTACATAAACTGACAGTCACCACTGATAAGCTACTACTAAATATTGTAGAAACTTAATTTTCTGTAAAGTTGCTTTGCAACGATTTGTATCGTAAAAAGTGCTATACAAATAAACTTGAATTGAAAAAAACTTGAATCTGAATAATTTAAATAGGCTAAAATGAGACAGGGGTCAACTTTTTTCCCCTCTTTTTATTTATTGGATAATTACCCAAACAATGCATTTTTCACGATTTGCTTTATCAGAATGCATGTTTTCTGAAGATGTGCATTATAAGAAAGGAAGAAAAAGAAAAGAAAGCCTTAATACAAAATTAAGAAGGGCCTTGGCATCCGTGACAAACTAAACTATCTTTTATATTGGGTCTATTTACACATTCCCAGGGAACCATCCGTTGCAGCTGTCGCACTGAATCTGAAAGAGACACTGACGTTATGACATGTTTTGAAGCAGGGTGAAACGTTAAAGAACAGTTTGCTAATTAACAAACCCAAGAGTCCTCAGTGTCTTCTGTGTATGGATATTTGTCCCCACAGGCCAAGCATAGTTCAGAGAGGTCCTCTGTGGAAATAAAGTCATCAAAGTGATGCACATAATATTGGTGAAACAATATGTCAGTTGTTACCTTATGTCCATTTTATATTATATTATACCTGTTTCTTGTAGAAGGCAACGGCCTATGTCTTGGTGAATGAAATTTATGTTGGCCACTGTGCTTTCAAACTCCAAATTACCTCCTTTTAAAATAGCTTCTGCAAACTACAAAATGATGTAATGAAAACAGGGCATAAATTCACATTTTAAATATTAGTTAATTAAATAAATAATTAATTCAATAAATACTTACTTTGCATACAAATACCCCACATGAATTGTCATCCTTTTTTAAGCAATGTGGTAAAGTACCACATTCCCACTTTTCCCCAAGATTTCCTTTTGGTGGCCATAAATTTGCTTTGTTTGAATTAGAAATATTTAAAATGTTAATACAAGTTAATTATCAGACTAACAATTAAAATGTATAAGAAGAGCATATATTTGTACTGACCTTACAGGCTTTTTACATTGAGCCAGTTTACTTTGGTTTTCACCAAGCGAATTTAGGTACAGCATTCTCCATTTGTTAGGATATATCACCTGTAAAAATAATTATGAATGAATCTTGCTCTGAATTTAACAATTTTAATTTACAGTGAAGGACAAGAATGGAAAGAAGCAGACCAGGAGTGTCCAGTGATTGTTCTCATTAACTGACCTGAACATCATACGCCCCTGGATTCATCTAGAGATGCAATGGAATATTGTAACAACGGTTCAGTTCACCAGTTCTCTCATTAAAAAAAATCTATTTGTGGAGTTTAGGATTTTTTTTGACCCTTTTCATTAAACTAGGATTGCCTTGCCAAATAATTGTTGCTTGAAAGGAATCAAGCACATATGCCTTGCCAGCATAATTTTTTATAAGGTAGGACAAGTATGCATTGATAACCTAAAACAAAGTTTACACAGAGTTTACCCTTAGCGAGTATGGGTTTATGCCTAGAAGAGTTATTTTAACATTTTTTTTTACAAAAGCAGTAACACACAATTTGCAAATTTATGAATATGAATAAGTTGCATCACCTACCTCACTTTCTAGCATTTCCCGAGGTCTAATGCGTTCAATATCCCATGTAAATAATTTATATGGGCCAATTTTACTGCAGAGTGTCCCGCCTTTTTTCTTGCCCATATTTTTTGTAACACTTAAGAGAGAGAGAGTGCACAGTTTTCATTCATTGCAACTATAAAAAATTTATTTAAATGAACATGTACATGCATGTTGGCAAAAGAATAGATACAGAGTTTTGCAGGACAGTTAGTCTGGAGAGCAAGGCTGGGTGGTAGCAGCACAGACAGGAGCACGGACAGGAGGCTGGGTGGTAGCAGCACAGACAGGAGCACGGACAGGAGGCTGGGTGGTAGCAGCACGGACAGGAGGCTGGATGGTAGCAGCAGGGGTGTAGCCAGGTGGGTTAGGGAGGGCTGAGGATACCGTAACGGGAAAATAATCACTGAGTTTGGGGACTTTTGAGGGATACTCCTCCAAAAAACGAACTAAATGGTCCTTGCTAATCTTTGGACAAGAACGTCCTTTGTCGCCCTTCAAATCAGTGGATTTGCCATCCACATTCATAACTGTGTATGGACCAATGTAGTCTGGGTCCAATTTACCACCCTTTCTCTGCCTGCTTCGCACGTTCTGACACAGCACTCTGTCTCAAACTTTGATTTCAGTGGATAATCCCTTTTCCAGTTTTTTTATTTTATTTTACATTGAACACCACGGATATTCTCCTGTATGGTTTTGAATGTCCTGTCATGCCTTTTAATGCATTCTGCGACACACTCCTCTGCTACAATGTCCTCAATACTGTCATTGATCTAGGCAAGAAAAGTTGCATTTAACTTTGGATTGCAAAAGAAAAATAACATTTAAATGTAAAATACTAACCTCATAATTGTCAGGTACCTCACATGGATACCTAGCTTCACGGCCAAACATCAAGAAGTATGGAGGATATTTTGTAGTCATTTGCTTTTTTGTGCGGAGACCAAACATTGTGGCCTCCAAGTAGTCTGCCCAATTTTGTGGCTGCTTTCCCACCAGCTTACTCATCGACCTTTGAATATGAGAAGAGCCATCAATAGTGAAACATTCTCCATTTATGTAGTAAATGAGTAAACGAGTTTTGACAAATCATCCCGCTAAATATGAATGTGAGGAACAAGAGAATATGCATTCTTTATCTACCATCGATGCAATAATCAATAGTTTAACTAGTTTATTAGGAATTGTCAATTTCATACCTTTGAATTGTGCCATTAAGTCTTTTAACCAATCCATTTGTCTGTGGGTGGAACGGTGCACAAAAACTTCTTTGGATTCCCAGTAACTGACAGACACCCATATTTATCTGTATATAAACATTGGGAATTATAATATTTTTCCCAATTTCTAAAATAAACAAATTAAAAACATCTGATTGAAGAAGTATAACCCTAACCTTGTTCACAAATTCTGTGCCTTGGTCAGTTAACAATGTTTTTGGTGCACCAAATTTGTAAAATAACTTTACAATGCAACCTGTAACCTCCTCTGCACTTTTAGTTTTTAGTGGGAAAGCCTCACACCACTTTGTGAAGTAGTCTATCATCACCAGTGTTGTGCAAGTTACTTCCATTCTGTAATACATTACAGATTACTTGTTACTGTTATTTAAAAGTAATCCCTTACCTTACAATATTACTGTCTCAGAATTGTAATACATTACATGACTCTTGTATTACTTTTTAGTTACTTTCACCAAAATAACTACAGAATTAGAACTTAACATTCTAAAATGACAAAATGTACTGCAGAGCATTTTACATCCTGTTGTAACGCAAGCGTTACTGAACATGTACCGACTAAAATATTACTGAAAATGTATTAGTAATGCCTTACACTACTGCATTACAGGAAAAAGTAATACGTTACTGTAATACATTACTTTTGTAACGCATTACTCCCAACACTGATCATCACGCATATATACTGATAGACATTTTCAGTTGCTGTGAGCTTTCCCACTAAATCCATTCCAACAATTTCCCACGGCTCAGCCACCTGAGGAAAAAAAGTGACGTTTAACATGGTTGGTTTCATAAGTAGAAAATAATATAATCATTCCATTTACATTAATTTACCTCAATAGATGTGTAGGGTATCAGAGTGAATCAGAACAACCCAAAGAGCCAAATTCCACAAACAGGCCCAGGATAACAAGACAACGTCATAAATCTGTCCATGATACCCTTGCGCCATGAGTCAGAAGCAAGTCCACTAACAACCAGCTTTCAACAGCTTTCAACATTAACACAAAATAACACATTGATAATTTCAGCTCAGGAAGGAGATTGTCAATTTTGGGGCAAGAACCCCAAGATTAATGATTGTAGAGACAACATCATGACCATCACATGAGGGTTGATTAGTCTCCCCAGGTGTGTCTTATCTTGTTAAGCTTGTTAGCCCCTTGTGTGTATATATAGCCCTAGTTTTTCTTTAGTTCCTTGTGAGTTGTTGAATGTAATGGGTGTCTGTTTGCCAGTCATTATGTTTTTTGTTCCCTTTGGTTTTTGCCTTATTATTTGTTCTAGTTTTTCCATGAAATACCAGCACATAGATCCTTGCCTCTGCCTGTTTTCCGCAGCTTCTCCACAAGGTTACAGTTTTTCGCTGGCATGTCTCGTTGACTAGTGCATCTTTGAGCCTATATTTAGTATAAGTAAAATACTTAAGTACTGTTAAAATCAGATACTCTAAGACTTTTACTCAAGTTGTTTTGGAATTGGTGACTTGTGACGTGGAGTAATTTTCACTGTAAGGTATCTGTACTTTTACTCAAGTATGGTTTTTAGGTACTCTTTACACCTCTGTATGTAACCCACACATTTGACTATTACATTCTAATCACTCATTGTCTATGTATTTTGTATAACTATTGAATAGTTTATAGGTTTAAAATCATGTTGGGTTGGGTATGTATGAGTTTGAAAATTCATGCTTTAAACGTTTCTATCAATCAATACTTTGTAAAATGTATTATATTCTTGTTATAGAAATCATGTCCAAATTATACTCTGCAAGAGCGGGAAAATTCAGACCATGTGACTGATAAGATAACATGTTTATTTATGTATTGGGAGAAGAAACATAGCAACACCCCAAGCTTAGACAATGTCTAATTGGTCAAGACACAATTTGGGATGTGTCCAACAGCCATGTTTAAATACTCAGGACACCATCAAATTATGCTTTTTCTTGCCTTTTTGCCACCGCGTTTTGACGCTGCTTTTCAGAGCACTTTGAGCATGCTCAGGCTTACACGTCAGCTACTCCTCTAAAACCATGAGGAGAAACGCCATCTAGTCTTGTCACTCTTCTTGCTGGCGTCTACTTTAATTTATTTTCTTTTCTGTTGAGAGGTTTGTGTTCTGAGTTAAGTTTTGCCGCACCGCCGTGTCTCCGAGTCCGACCTCGAGTGCCCGTCTAAAACTTCAGCCAACACCCAAGACTTCACTACCAACGACCACTGAACTTCCAGCCAATCAGCAACCTTGGGAAACCCTTTTCTGCAACGATGACAACAAAAGGGAATCCCTTAACACAAAGGCAATGCAAGTACCTCCAGATTCTAGCTGAACTGGTGCATTTAATATTTTTATAGCCTCATTGAGAGAATCAATGCGAGGGTTAATCAAGTGACTGATGGTTGTTCAGGTCTATGCAATTGCATATATTGCTATAAATTTGGGATTTCATATTTTCACTCTTCTAAACGCATTATTTCCTCACTTTCTCTCTTTCTGCAACTTGTGTGAATGTATGAGTGCGTATGTTTATGTGTTAGATTAGTTCATATGTCTTAGATTTATCCAATAAATCCTTATTTATATTGAAAATAGAAGTATCTTGGTTTTGTACTTATAGGTTAATGTCCTAAACTGCTGATCTTGTTACTGTGCTAATTAAAGCCTGTGTTATACTTTCCGCGTCCGTGAGTCCGCTAGGGTCCGCTATGGTATGCGTGACGTAAAAATCGTCATCGGAGAGTGTGCGTGGAGGCTCCGCGCGGACATCCGCGTGCCTCCCATTTTTTGTACTTGTCCGCGCGGTCAGTAGGCTACTGCGCATGCGCAGGCTGTGTGAAGAAGCCGGTTGCTACTCGAACCTGTACAATCCGTCGATAAAACAATATTAAGACAGCCAGATGTGCAATAACTCTGGGCAATTCTTTGTTCACATGTTTGTTTATTGTTCAAGCCGATCTACTACACATGTATGGAACACGTCCGCGGAGCGGACCATCAG